TTGTTGCCATTGAAACAGAAAAGAGCTGGCAAACCTAGGAAGTTGAAACTGGCTAGAAAGCAGATTCTTCCCTACAGCATACAGAAAGAAACATAACCTGGCTAACACATGAGTTTAACACACTAAGACCCATTTCAGACACCTGACCTTCAGAACAGTAAAACAATACATTTGTTTCCAGCCATTACGTTCATAATAATTGGGTACAGCAGGAATAGGAAACTAATACTCCTTGCTTTTTTTTCAGAGGCAACACACAGGTGACTATCAGATTCTAATTCCACAAATAGTTCTCTTTTCTTTCTCATCTACTTGCTTTCTAACATTTATTACTCAGAAAATTTACAGCAACAAAAATCATCTCACTCTATAGTCTCAGATTTGAAAAATTCAAAATGAATAAAATTCTTCAAACTCCATGAAACAGACATTCAGGAAGCCAAAACAACATCTTGAGAAATGCTAACAAAGTATTCAATAAATCCATTCCTGAAAAAACACTCAGTAAAATAGGAATAGAAGGGAAATTCCTCAACATATTTAAAGGCATATATACAAATCCAAAGGTCACTCTTAACAAAGAGAGACAGAAAGCATTATCCTTTTGAACAAGAACCAGACAAAGATGCCCTTTATCACCACTCCTATTCCACACTGTGCTGAAAGTCTTAACCAGAGTAAAAAGGCAAGAAAGGGAAATTAAAGGCATCCAAACTGTCAAAGAAGAAGTAAATCTGTCTCTACTACCAGATAATGTGATCCTATACACAGATAAAACGATCTTTCAGTGAAAAAATCTCTCAAAACATTCAGAAAATTATTGGAACTCATTAAGAGAGTCACCAAAGTGGCAGGGTTTAAGAGAAGCACACAGAAATTAACCCACTGTTGAGAAGAAGAAAAAATTAACCCAGTTGCTGCAACTGTGTCAATCTCCATCTCGTTTGGGTACTTCCTCTTTTCTGCTGTCTGTGAACTTTATCAAGCATAAAGTCTTTATCCAGAGACATGACAGCATGTCCAAAGTACAAGAGATGAAGTTTCAGCATCATCGCTTCTAAGGAGCACATTGGTTGTACTTCTTCCAGACCGATTTGTTTTTCCTTCTGGCATGGTATTTTCAATATTCTTCTCCAAGATCACAATTCAAACACATCAATTCTTCTCTGGTCTTCCAGATTCACTGTACAACTATCAATGCATATGAGGTATATAAAAATATCATGGCTTGGGTCAGGTGTCCCTTAGTCCTCAAAGTGCTATCTTAGCTGTTTAACACATTAAAGAGGTCTTCTGCAGCAGATTTGCCTCATGCAATACGTTGTTTGATTTCTTGATTACTGCTTCCATGAAAACTTCAATCTATTCTCCATTTATCATAGATGTTATTTATTAGTTCAATTATGAGGATT